AACAAGACAGAGTGGACTGCAGAGCAGGATAGTCGTTCTTTGATAGATACTCGAATATCTTGTCGGCGACACAGGTAACGCGAGTTGGCGGACGCCAAACGAGCCTTCTGTATTCGAGCCAATATTTAGTTAGCGACCACCGCATTCGGGCTGATGCAACTCCCCAAGTAAATGAAGTGGTCGGCACATTAGACCACTTCACTCTCCATCATTAAACTGGTAGTGATTGCAGACCAGTTCTGAAGCATTATTTTACATTTGACAGGAAGCAAGACCCTGCTAAACATACTTAGATTTCTGCTTAACGCATCTAGAAGACACTGCATTTTTTCAGCGTCTTTACCTAGCAGGACAATATCGTATGGGTACTGCAAATTAACTAGATAACCTCTAGAAAGTAGACAAATCGCTGCGAAGTCAGAACTGCCTAAGGTTATGTCTATCAGTACATCCATAAGGAAACCAGATAGGAAGGGTGAGAGTGGGCATCACTAGTGAACACCCCTAGTTGTCGTCAATTCACATGAAAACTCTCCCCCCATAAGCCCTTATACGGCTGCATGAGTTCGAGTAGAGAGCTTAGATAAGCATTACACACTTGCTTGGTACCCCATTCAGAGTCAGACACTCCCACAACACCTTATGGTCGACAGAGTCAAATGGCACCTTGAGGTCAAGAAATATGGCAAGTCTCGGCCACTGGCCGGTAGGTATGTCTGTGTTCCAGAACCTGTCGAAGGGTGAAAATCTGGTTGATGCACCCTCATTCAGGTACGCATCCTACCTGGTTTTTTTTAGTTTGCTGTTCTCCAGCTCCGGTTAGGCGTCACATAACTATGGACCCTAGGATCTTGGAAACAATAATAGTCAAACTTATTCCCTTATAGTTGTCATAGGAAGATTTCTTCTTCTTGTAAACTAAGATGATCAGAGATGGTCATTCTGATGGCATTATCTCAGATTCCCATACACTACCTAGTACCTCGACCAATTTAATTAGCAATTTCCCATGTCCATCCTTGAAAACTTCGGGTGGCAAACTGTTACGCCCTGCTGCTTTGCATCGCTTCGGGTTTGATATACCCTACTCAAGTTGGAGGACCGAAATCTACGTACCATCCAAAGTCCGACTGGATGCCAAGGTAATGCTGTGGGTCAGTCTAACTGTGCTTCAGTACTCTGCTCAATGTTTTAGCCCTCTATCCAAAGAGGTTATCCGGGTACCATCCTTTTCGGTGATGGTTCAACTATCGTTTTCTTGCTAGTATCTTTATTAAGCCCAAATATTTGCTAGGTATTATTCACCGCTGATGCCTTCATCTCTCTCTTTTGCCACCCACTACTTCTCGCAATCATTGCAAAGACTCTGGGTAAATTTACTTTTATGTAGATTCGCTTTTCAATGTGATGAGAGCCAGTCGGAATCAGTCTTCTCGCACCAATCAGTTCGGATGACGATGAGGAAGTCCAATTACCTTTGCTGACCTCCGATAATGGGATACCAACTTTGTTTGCCGCTGTTTTCAAAACAGACAGTATCACACCGTGCCAACGCCAACCTCGACAGAAGTTAAATCGGGTTGGAAGAAGGCTCAGGGTATGGCACCAGTTCATGAAGTCCTTGACTGTTGGTCTGGATTGTGTAGGGAGTTGTAGACTACTTTGTTAGGGTCCTCGAGACCATAGGAATCAACGGGTGATGACTTGCAAAAATGACTGAAATTTTAACCCTTTGCATTTAACCTTTGCATTCATCTTCCAAGGTAAAGTGGTTGACGCAACTAACCATACCACACGATTTTGAGGCACAAGGTCATGAGCTGCAAGTACTAAATGCAGTCGTGTCGTTCCCATGTAGCTATTTAAATTAACAAGACGACTTTACATTTTATCACGTTTATGGCATCTTTTTACTTCAAAGAGACGATCTTCAAAACGTATATCGATTTCTGTGATGTCAAAAGAAGCCATAACCTCTAAACACATCTGCCAATGCTCTAAGTTCAGGCTTGGTTCGAGGCACACTTACCGTTTACCAAGTTTTGAGCATAACCTAGTAAACAAGCCTACAACTGCTAAGCCCTATTGCTCTCAAGATCAGTATATTATGGTGTAACAAAGTGATGATATATATTCTTTGTTAGGAAATTTTTGAAACTTCATTATGCTCTAGAATGACGCAGCCAAACGAATAAGTCATCCCATGAAGAACCGAAGCCAGGTAATAAAAGCCGAATTAACTCTATGAGAATGCTTTCCGAAAATTTCAGGCTCCCTGTAAACGTTCAGTTGCTTTCACCAATCGAATTGGTGTTTACCTTTATCGCAGTAAATGGTCGTACAAAGTTTTTGAAGCAAACTAGTACAAAACTGAACCGGCCCACTTGTACTTGCTTCGATGACTGACTGACAAAATCAGCGCAGAACCTCGTATACAGGTATATCGGTTCAAGTTACCACACTTCACAGTGGACAAGAAAAGACTGATTTCAAAGTAGACAAAGTTGTGTGAGAGAATAAACAGCCTTAAGTGCAAATAGTCAAGCTTTAGAAGGAATCAAGGAGTGAATGCACCCGCACCATTGTGTCTGACTTTCAGCCATGTCACCAAGAGTCCTCAACTTGCTCTGGTGCGATGGAAACTCGCTTGGTCAGACCATCAGGTCGTTCAATGTAGAACTCCGTTCCACTCACTAATTTAAGAAGCCTATGCATCATTGTTGATATGCATCCACGGTAATAAGATCAGTGGGGATTCTGCCCGGCTGATATTATCTGATACAAAACCATCCCACCTAGCTTGGCTATAATAACCAGCGTCCTGAAACGAAAGGCCTAAACAAACTCCAGGTCATCTATGTACTAATACTATGCAGCTGACAGGTTGACTACTGCATTTAGACTTTCACTTCGTCAAGGCTTATTCTCATATGACTGGAAGGACGACGTAGTCACATACAAAAAGGATTCTAGGCAGCACCCATCAAACTACATACCGATAAGCCTGACTAGCATTGTAGTTAGGTCCTAGAAAAGGTAATCAAGAAAACCATTACAGCTTATTCGGATAACACTTTACTGATGAGTTCGCAACATGGCTGTCGAAGAAGTGTCTTACGTTAGACAAACATTCTCAGTCAGAGAAGGCTGGATGATAGATATCCGATAAATGGTATCTTCATAGAATTCAGCGACGCGTTTGATACGACACCTCACCCTAGGTTGCTTAAGAAAGTTTTACAATGATTGCCAATTTACTTGAATGGACCAAAGAATAATTTGCTGGTAGGAGGTAGAGAGTAAGGATCGACTCAGAACTCTCTTCTTGGAGTTCAGTGAAGAGTGAAGCGCCGGGAAGCGATTTCCGGTCCCCTACTATTTCTCCTATACATAAATGAAATAATGGACACCATAAAGTCATCCACGATTCTCCAGGAAGATGACAAAAAAATTTGGTGATAATCAATAGGTGAGTTATGTATACGAACTTCAGACAGACTTAAACAACTTGTTAGTCTGACCAGAGAAATAGTTGGTGCCTATCAATGCCAGTGTGTGACTACATACCTAGGATGGGTGGACTTCAGTACCTACGGAATTGGTGAGATTCTTCTACTGTTAACACTGACCCAAAATAACCTAGGAGTTATAGTAAGTCATGATTTGGAGAACGAATACCACCAACTAGCTGAAGCTCTGAGTTTCAAGACATGCTGAGCAATACACAGCTTTTACGAGTATCAATGGAGATATGTTTACCACTTCATACACAGCCAGACCTAATACATAAAACTGTGCAGAAGTGGAAAACCCTTGTTTGAAAGGTGAATCAGATCTGGAAAGAGTTCAGAAGACGGGGACTCAAATGATTCCTTCAATAGCTACTCTGACCTATAAGAAAAGACTTCACATACTAAACCTCTTCTCTCTATAGCGATACGGTATACTGTATAGCAAACAAAGAGATTTATTCATCATGTACAGAACTCCAAAAGGTGACACTGAACCGAACCAAATTTGCTTTTTCCTTCCCAATATGTCGAAACACCTCAGACTGGACAGGAGAGTACAAATGCCAAAGATGGAAGTTGTTGACGCGGGAAAGTGGTCTTAGCACTGAGTAATAAACGCTTGGCACAGACTCCTGGAAGCAGTGTCTGCATCACCGCCTGACCCACCCAAGCGGCATAGACATAAAGAAGTCCACAATAAAATGATTAGCACAGACTCAGAGCCTTCTACACTAAAACTCCAAACTGAAATCAAATTTTAATCTGAAATGCAGTCTGTGATTCAACTTTAAAAACATTTCCTGCAGTTCGATGCTTTTGACCAAACGACTATTTAAACCGGCATTCACTTCACTGCCTAGTCGCACATGGAGAGCAGCTGTATACGGATTTATAAAGGTCATCAAAATGAAAACGATAAACAAGTATAAGATGAAACGGGCTGGCCAATTTAAGAATTCTTCTTTGTCGGGTTCATCAATTTAGGATTTATCCTGGTGCGAACATGACAGACACAGAGGCCATCACTAAGTATTCGTACTTGTTATATACCCACGAATACGAGGCCAAGAAAGAACACAATTGCGTAGGCGGATGGAATAGTATATTTGTGAGGTCGGGCCAAGATACCGATGCATTCCAGCCAACTGGCTAGATATAGTCGATTACGAACGATGCAACGTAACATGACAGCTTGCCAAATGGTGTAGATGCCTGACCGAGTGCCTTCAGCTTACAGAGTCCAGTTAAACCATGTAGGTCAGCACCAATGTTGAATCTCATCTAACCCCAGGCTATTGATTCTGGAGGTGTGTGACGCTACAGGATCACAAATGAACGTCAGTTGCCTGAAACTTAGCGGTTTAGTTGCTCAAGTTAAGTAGTGGATCAAATGCGCATAACACCGTTTTTGCAATATTTAAATCGGTGGAACTTTAGTGATGAGAACCTTGAGGACGACTCATCACGTTGATAAACTTCAAAAGTTACCCAAGGTCATTCCTCATGTCCGTAAACCAAATAGTTGACGTTGCAAAGACTGACGACGATCCTGTTGCTGGTTACTCGCGAACAGCTGGACCTCTTGCGAGAATTCTAAACTATGAATTTGGCTTTCCAACCAAATGATTCCTAGGGGAATAGAAGAATCTACCCAAGCGCGCGTTTTGAAAAAGGACACTGTGGGTTTGACAAATTTTGATTAATTTGTTATATTCATTGTGTTGCGGCTCGGAACTCCCTAAACAAACATTTATCTATCTGTCATTCAGTTTAATGATGGCTTCGAAGGATGTCGGCGTGATTTTTCGCAGTAATGTCAGCTGCTCGGCTCGGGCGATGGGTTGTGAGCCTTGCTCTCAATGGACTCACTGTTCCTGCGATCCCAGACAGCCGTCCAGTTATCATGAGGGACTGCTTAATAGCCCATTTAGTGGAGATTGGTATTTTTGCCCGTGTTAGACGCAATTCCAAGGAATTGTCAATAAAGATGTTCTCTGTTGTAACACTAGGTGATGTGGAACTCCGTGTTCGGTTGGAGTATTATACCGCCCTCCTGGAGCCGCTACGGCGTTAAATAAAATTTTGATATGATCCGCTAGAGAGGCTTTGGAAGTGAACCCTCCACAGGTCCTCATTGTGTGAGATTTCAATTTTCTTCAACTCCTTACCACTAAAAGCCCATCTACTGCTTTAAAAGACTTTCGGGAATTATTACTGCGAAACTCCTCGACTGAACATATCTCTCGGTGCACTCACTGGAGGTTTGACGGTCACGCATCCTGACTAGATTATATGGTCACAAATCAGTTCATTGGGGTAACCAACTAGATTTTTCTTGGCCCCCTCAGGTCGACTGGCCGTGCGGTTGTTTCCTTCAATATTTCTACATCAAAGCCATCTGCCCCTGATCAGCAACTGGTCAGGAATCTGAGGGGGACTGATTTTGAGAGGGTCCGGCAAGATCCAGAAGGTTCCCTGACTCGAATTATGATGACCCACTGGGTCTGGATGCCAGGTGGAATCTGTCGAAAGACACGATTCTTCAGTTGATAAATAACACAACCCCTCTGATTCCAAGAAGAACCAACACGTTCTACCCCTTGTGGCTTAAGCCAAGCACGTGCAAACTTATACAGCCCAAATGGTCACCTTGGAACCAATGGAGGGTCACTAGCAGCTCTATCGACTGACTAAATTACAAAGACATCCTTAACGGATGCGCGGGAATGACAGAATAAACTATCAGACACAACTATGTAGAACCCTGGAGACGAACTATAGAATACTATGATACCTGATGAGGCAGAAGAGTAACAGTTCACCTAATATGCAGGACCCTGGTAGTTTAGAGATTCTCCACTCTAACTCCTAGGTAGCAAACTCGTTAGTCCAAAGAGAACTTCTGTCATTTGGGAGGGACAACCACACATCTGTCGGATACCCATATTACAGAGGACCTAAACCGTATAGGACTTGAACCCTCTACATTTATGGAAGTATTAAAGAATTTGAACCCCAATAAGTCTTCAGGAATTGATGGTATTCACCCAAGAGTACTTAAAGAGTGTGCTGAATTTTTTAGTGCTCCACTAGCGAACCTCTTCGGATGCTCTGTTCTACAAGGCAGGTCGGCCTTTGATTGGAAACGGGTGGCTGTCGCCACGGCATATAAAGGTGGAAACAAACTACTTGCCTCTAACTATATACCCATCTCCCTGATAGCTTCGGTTGCAGAGGTTATATGTGGAGTAATAAGTGACTCATTTAGTGAGCCCTTGCACAAGAAATCGATCTTAAGCGACTTTTGACACGGTTTTTTACCCGGAAGGTCATGTAATACCAACTTGTTGATAGCTTGGAATAGCTAGGCTCTCTCTATTGAGCAGAAAAAGCGCGTTCACATTGGTTATCTTGACTTTTTCAAGGCCTTTGACAGGATAAATCGTGGTGCCCTATGTAAGAAACATCAGCTTGCGGGCGCAAACGGGAAGTTACGGACTGGTTAGGGTCTATCTTCACACCGGGTTGCAGTCAGTTGGAGTTGGCTCCCCTCTGTCTAACTGGCTTCCGGTGTTAAGTGGTGTGCCTCAAAGTCCTATTCTGGGCCCATTACTGTTTCTTGCTTTTATCAGTGGCTTACCAGGAGCCCTCAGTTCGCATTCACTATTGTATGCTGACGATCTGAAGATTTGGAGGGAAATACAGGTGCCAACGGATATTTTGGTCTTCCAGAGAGACCTTACGAAAGTCCCCAATTGGATCACAGGAAACCTGTTTCCCCTCAGTTTGAAGAAATGTCCGATAATGGTAGTCGACAAATATTGTAGCAGTCCCAGTTTTTACTCTCTGTGTGAATTCAATATCAGTCACTGTAACACGGAACAAAATCCAGGAGTTACGTCAAGCGACATACTAGGAGCTTCAGTCCACTGCCACGCAGCCAACAAGGCCCAGGGAGCCTTGAGGTTTACGTAGCTAGCTTTAGGGGGCCTCAGTCGTTCTCTTTTCATCATAATGTATGCTCTGTACATTCATCCCCATCTAGAGAAAGATTCGCCTATGATGTCCCCAAACTGGAAGAAGGGCAGCCATTATAAGGGGAGTACAAAGAGCTACAAAGAAAGTGATCGGGTTACCGCACAAACCATACCCCTAAACTGCATCCAGTACAATTCTGGAGGATCAGAGGGGATGGGATGGCGATGTACCACTCGCCCATATTCCTCTTCATCCTAACAGAACGTTTCTAGGCCTTAACCGAAAACGCGATCTGGGGAGTCACCCATGAAGAAAAGAGCAGGAGACAGACCAGATCAATTGGTAATCGATTACCTCTAACCTTCCAGGCTTTTCGGAACCAGGAAGGTAGTTGTGACCATTCAAAACTCAGAACCTGCTCCAATTAAACAGGGGTGGAACCCAAGGAACTATCGTTCATGAATTATACTGCACGGAGCTTGAAGTTTGGAGCCTTCGCTCTGCTGACTTTCGCATATAAAATCCGTGAATTTTCACTTCAAGTGGTTGTTAGTCTGTGTACAAGCAAAGAGTAAAGATAAAGTAGAGGTTGAAGCGTAGAAACTCAATTAGTTCAGGGGAGATCCCAGCCACATATCAAATAAGTATAAAGTCGGTGGTTAAAGTACTCGGACGAAGTAGCCCGAATCACGCCCGCAGGAAGGATATTCCAGGGTTTAGGAACTCTTAGGGAGTAGCAGTTGTGTCTGATACCTGGCCTGCTACATTCAGGCTTAGTTTCTGCACATGTCCACTAAGATTAGTGCTGCAGCTTAGATTCAACATCAGTAGTGCGAACAGGGAAAACTCGCAGCTTTGAGGCTCTTCTGGGTCCCCTGGCTTAGTTTCTTTTGTTGGATGATACTCCTTCTGTGGTCACAGAAGTTGTTATGCTTTCGATGCTTATAGCTTTGGAGGTGGATTGTCTATCTGAAGGAGTCTTTCTGCAAATTATTGCTTCTTTTGTCGGAGGAGCAACGGAGCTGCTGACAATGGGTTGTGCAATTCACACCCCTCGTTATCCCATATTTTACGAGAAGAAATCGTTGATAACGGGGTATTTCTTAGAGAATCTCATCTTGCCGCCGTATGAATAGTGATTCTACTACTAATTTGGCCTGCTGGAATATCTGCAACATCAGCCGGAGTCCGTACAGACGTTAGTGAAGCTCATTCAGTGTACGGTCACCGGCACTGCGGAGATATTTGCTTTGAAAAAACTGGCAGACTGAATCCAAAGTTTGGTGGAACGGGTAATGTGAAGGAAATCGATGGGCGTCTTATTCGGAAACGTAAGTACAACTGAGGAGAACAACTTAAACAGCAGTGGGCAAGTTGTATGTTTATGTCTTAACAAGCAACAGACTCTTGCCATCTGTGTCTGAAGTACTAAGAAAGGACGTTTTCAGTGACTGAACGATGGATCAGGAGGGTCTGTCAGGTACCACAATATGCCAGATGCTGGGAAGTCTTACATGCTGTTGTCTGAAACGGGTTGCCCCCAACAGGTTACGGTTCGTAAGCATTAGCTAGCTTATCGGGTAACTACAACGCACGCAGGCAACGTCTGAAAATTGAGGAGTTGCCTTACAAAGTTTAAGAGACGTCTGGCATGGTCGCAGGGGGATATGATATAGCTTCATTTCGACGGGGAGCAAGGCAAACGATGGTACAGCTTCTGAAATGAATCCAACGTCAATAGTGAAAGCGTAGGTAACTGACGATCCCTGACCTCTTGTGTTTGGTTCTTGTAGCTTCATTCCTATTTCCCGGCTTGCTCCTCCAGTGGGCCACGGAATGTTTCCTGTTCTCCTGCTTTTGGCTGCGGCGAGGTGTTTTAAGGATCAGCAGTTGTAATTTGTAGGTTGAAACGTTCTGGGAGCTGCAAATCACCGGAAAGATTAAGAGTCTGCCATGATCCCCATTCGTAAATGTGCCAAAAAGGAAAAGCAAGATAGTGTGGGGGGTGCACCGAACGTACCCGAAAGGTACAGCTGGACGGTATAGGTCCAGTTACTAGCAAAGTTAGTCGGTAATGCAGGCATGCCAAAAAGGAAGAGGTGGTGAATTGTAAATGAGGAGGTACTGACGAGCTAGTGAAGTCGATAAGACTCAGTACACCAGTGCTAATCCATGCAAAATAACTCATTGTCTAGCTGCCTTTTGAATGACTCTACTGAGAAAGCTGGCCACGCCCTGCTTAGGTGCATTCCATTTAGTGGACACTCTCAAGGGGAAAAGGTTAAACCTGGCCTCGGTCTTGGCTCCCTGGTGTGCTATCCTGATGCTGATTCCTTGCGATGAATGTCATGTTGTAGGTGAGGTTATCTTGCTTACATGATCTTGTAGGACATAAAAAGTTTGCTCCTCTTTCCAAAAAACAGAATGGATAGGTTGCGGTGTCTCAGTCTGCTAAATATTACCTTCCTGTGTGATCCAACAACTGGTTTTCTGGTAGATTGTTGCATTTTCTCTAGGAGCTTACAGCATCTC